GTCGACAAATAGGTGGTGAGTGTCGATGCTTTTCTCGCGGGTCTTTTCCCAGATTTGGTGTAANTTTAGACATAGCGGCGTATAGGCAACTTATTTTAGTGCTGTCGGAAGCGGCTTTAAAGTCGACAAATAGGTGGTGAGTGTCGATGCTTTTCTCGCGGGTCTTTTCCCAGATTTGGTGTAATGTGAATACGTGGTCTATAGGGGATTTGCCAGGTGTAAAGACACACTGATAAGGGTTAATCAGTTCGTTGCCTGTAGGCTTCTGTCTTTCGCACAGTACACTCGATAAAACTTTATAACCTATGCTTAGAAGGATGTGTCCGTGGTAGTTGGTGCGAATGGTGGGGTCCCATTTCTTGTAGATTGGGCACCCTCACGGGGTTTGTTCTGCTTTGGCCCTGTGTTTATCTTGGACGAATTTACTTTTCAGATGGCTAATTCAAGGATGCGTTTAAGCATGCATATAAAGACCGTAAGTCTGTGTAAGCGTGATATTGCATATACCATTACAGCAGTAAAACTCAAAGAAACCAATTCATAAATACAAAGACGAATTGTAAAAGTGGCGAATTGACAAGGAAATATTCGACCACATCTGTCCAAGAAGGAACACGATAGGTATATCAATGGCTTCATTTGAACGATATTCATGAGATCACACGACTCTTTAGCCAATGTACGCGAAAACTTTTCATCCTGTGGGGCAGTGGGGATACTTGGCCCTCCTATAATTGAAAACGCTCATTTGTGCTGTTGAGTTTCCGTATAAGGACTTTTATTGGCTTACATGGTACACCGGACCAATGCTGAAGTTGCAGAATCATAGAAGAATATTACGCACGCTTGGCAGAGATCTCACAGGTGGAAATAAGACCATAGGTAAAACGCATTACAGTATATTTTGCTTAGCTGCCCATCCTTCTTTGCACGAAAAACTTGTGCGCTTAACCGAACAAAGCACTTAAGCGAATTTTTTTACTACTTCAATGAGGAAGGTATCCGAATACCTTAAGGAAGTAGAAGGTAGCAGACGAGACCGGTTTGTTTTGGAAAATGCTTCCTGACAGAACGTATGTCAGCCAAACCGAAAAAACAGCTCCGGGGAGAAAATCAGAAAAGGCCAGAATTACTTTTCTTGCTTGTACAAATGCCACTGGACAGCATAAAGTCAAACCGTTAATAATTGGGCGTGCCAAGAAGCCGCGCTCTTTTAAGGCGTATGACATCCCAGTAGACTACCGGAACTCTAAGAGTGCATGGATGACTGCAGACATCTTCAGGGAATGGTTTCACCAATGCTTCGTTCCTGAGGTACATGAATAATACATCTAAAACTCCTTACAGTTTTATAGAGTATTTTTTTTAATTGTTATTAGGTTCAAAAGTATTTGCTAAAAAAGGGTTTACCAACCAAAGCCATCCTATTGCTTGATAACGCCCCTAGCCATCCGCCAGAAGATGATCTTAAAACTACTGATGGCTCAATATTCGTGGTTTATATGCCTCCAAATGTAACACCTTTGATTCAGCCTATGGATCAGAATGTGATTCGCTTAACTAAGCTGTACTACAAAAAACATCTGCTGTTATTAGCTGTAGGAAAAGATGACATCACACAATTTTTAAAAACTTTAACTTTGACCATATTCTGCATACGAGCTGATGCATGCACCTAATCAGCTCCTCGCCGCCGCACTTGAATAGCTCGGCTGGCAGGCCGTCAGCTCCAGCAGCTTTGTTGTTTTTCAGCCGCGTAATCGCTATA